ATTCATTTTTTATTTTTTCACACCTTATTTTTATTTTTTTATTTTACAAATAAAATCAATACATAATTAGTAATACATTTAGTGGCTAATAAAATTATACATTTGAATTATTTATAACTCATGTCTCTTCATCTTACTTGTAAAGTTTAATACTAAATATGAATCATGACTTTATATGCTTCATTTTTCGTAAATCCTATAAGTATTTAATTAATGTTATAAAAAATTATAATAAGCAAATGTAATAATAAAATAAAAGAAAACAATATTGTTTTGACGAAATCCGAGTTTGGATAGAACATCACTACTCCTACAAAAGATAGAGAAAATTAAAACATCTACAATTTTCAACCTAATACAATATATTGTTATTTCAACATATTATCTCTTATTTCATTTACTTCACCACGGTGAATATTTTGTTCTAATATATACATATACAAAACAAACAAATATATTTTATATGTTTTAAAAAAGTCTATGATATCGCAAACGAGGAGAAATATAAATATTATCTATATATTCGATACTGACCTAAATATTATATATTTCATATTATTATCTTATAGATATTTTATATAATCGTGCGAAGCGCGGATAGTTTCACTAGTTAATATTAAAAAGTAAAATTAGATGATTAAATTTGACCACTATGAAATAATTAAATCGTAAGCTTAAAAAATTAGCCGCAGCTAGCCTAAAACATGACTCATCTTGATGGTCACGAAATTCATGAAAGCTTTCATTTTATCCACTTATTAAAGCCAGGCAGTTATAAGTTAAGTATACGTAATATATAATAATATATACGTGTCTATAATTAAGTTCACGTGATAATTTTTCTACACAGATAACACGTAAGTTGATTGCTACGCAAAAATTTTAAATAATGAGGCTATTTAGGCGTTAAAGCAAACATATGATTGTTTAAAAGTGTTATATTTTATTTTATTAAGGACCTTTCTGTTATTAATAAATTGTGATGGTCAAGCAAATCCTATTTCATGGAAATTACTAAATTTCCTATTCAAATCACTTTAATTATTTTATCAAGGAGCTCATGTTTTTCCCACCTCCAACATATAATTTTCGAAATTGATTTTTTTTTTAATTTAGTTCTTAAAAAACTGGGTCAATTTTGAACTTTTTTTTTCTAGATTAAATATGATCATGTTGATAATTATTGAGATAAATGTAGCACTATGTTGTTTAACAGGGGGCCCAAATGTGTAAGAGAAAATTAATATTTAATTTTTCAAATCGTTGAAATTTGGTTATGTACCAGATAAGTCCAGAATACTCTTTTGGACTTGTTCATCTCACATAAATTGCTCACTATATTTTGTTTCTAGATATTCATATTTAATGTTATTTTTTTCATCTAAAGTTATTTTTTTGTGTGTGTAAATATAACAGATGTAGTTAACAGAATTCACTTATGTCCTGAATTAACAAATTAAAGCCTCTACTAATGCTTCCTCAAGTTAAAACACATTAATAAACACACACGTTACTTTTTTTAATTAATCAATATTTTATCCATTTCATTTTATTTCATACTTCTATTAAAAATAGATTATTTTTTGACTTGTTTATTTTAACACATCAAGAAGAAAATTATTATTTTCTTTCAATATTATTATAATAGTAAAATTTAGATTTCTAAATCATAATTTTATCATTTAATAAAATTAATTTAATAAAATAAATTCCTAAAAAATACTTAATTTTTTAAAAAGATACATACAGTGAATTCAATACAACCTAAGTAAAATAATACAAAAAGAGTAATAATATATTAATACTGTAATAAAAAAATAATTACGATTCAGAACCCATAAATCAAAAACTGACTTCACCTGTATGACAGACTAGAAGTGTGTTGAGTACTTAAATTCGTAGGAAAAATTCCATGCAGCCTTTTAGTTTGTTTGATAAGGTACTAATTTAACGTGTCAAATACAAAAACCAAATTGTCCCCTAATTTGAGAGTTACACGCTTCAACTCCTCAACTTTTTTTCTTTTCCAATCTTATATATTCAAGTCTCCAACATACAATTTTCTCAAAAATTCTAAAATTTCCTCTTCCATATTAAACTAATCTTCAAATTTTCATAAATAAATTATAGTAGCTCTAAAAATATGGAGATTGATGAAAATATGTTGGTAAAAATAGGTCTCTTTATTTTTGTCCAAGCTTTGGTTTATTTGATTTTATCAAAGTCTTCAAATGTATTCTCCAAGACACAAAGATCTTACAGCTTCAAAACGGCTCGTTCCGTCAGCATTCGCCGGATGGCCGCCGCGCTAGCCGACATACCTGCCGGCGGTGAACTATCTCCGACTAATTCCAAGGACTTGACCTCTTCTATTTCATTCAAACACACATAAAATTAAATCATTATTTGGTGTGAACTTTATATAGGTTTATTTTTTTTTCTTTTAACTAGCTAGGTGTAAATTACAAATTCGTTGTGTATTGTAAAGATTTTAGTTTATTTGTACTTGGACCTATATATATTAATTGAGTTATATGTGTCCATATTATTTTCTTGTCAGTTTTTTAGAAATTAATCATTCGTTTACTTCTGATTCAATCTTTAAAGAAACGAATGTATTAATCATTTAGATGAGAAATAATATTCAGGATAAATAAAAGTATTTTATTTGGGTTTAGATGTGATAATCTAACATTATATTCTACTCTCATTCATCTCAATTTCTTTGCTTTTATCATGAGCCATTTTGATAATTAAAGTATCGTGGGTGCCCAAAAACTCTATTTGATTTTTGAATAAATACAAGTTCAATCAATAGACTCATATTATATGCTTATATGTGCCCCTATTTCTGGTAACAGTCGTACGAGTCTTTTTTTAAGTAATTAACAAAATAGACAAATATCAGGTGAAAATTTAATTTTAATATAATGAACAAGAAAATATAAATCGAGGCTAGTATTTCAATCGGTGCTAGATCAGCCAACTGGTGATATATGTCGTGCAATTATTAGCATGCGTATTTAGTTGCTGCACAAATTTTCTTGAGATATAATTGCTCTTCGGATTATTTAATTATGAGACAACAGATTTTGCTTATTTATCAAATACTAGAAAATAATTATTTCTCGATTTATATTAATTGAATTTTTGAGGTGTTTCATATTATTTAAGAAAAATAAATTAAAACATAAATTGAACATAATTTTTTATTTTTACCTTTATTAATTATCGTCAAACTTATTGAAGTCATCACGTTGAAAATGCAAATGGAGGATAAAATTGAAAGAACACTCTAAAAGTAATCTTGAAAACTGAACAATTAAATTAGTTTGAAAAATGAAAAATGCCACAAAAGTTCAATAAATATGGAGAAGAGAGTAAGAAAAAATTTATTTTTCAATGAATTCCCAAGAGCTTGATTGAAATTTAAATAAATTAATCTTGAAATTTAATGAGTTTATCAAATTGTTCAAAATATATATATATAAAATAATTGGATAAAATTTTAAAATTGAAGAGAGTTAAACTATAGAATTAAAAGAAGGATGGTGGAGTTGTGGTAGAAGTAGTAACATTTAAAATGACGAGTTTTAATAGAAATGACAATGAATTTTTGAAAAAGAAAGAAAAAAAATAATAAAGGAAAAAAAGTTAAAATAATATGAAAACCAAGAAAGTATATTTTAGGGAAAAGGGCCTAATATATTCCTAAATTTTGTTAATATATCCTTTGTTATTAAAGTGGTTCATGTATACTATGATTCATATATCCTTTAATAGAAATGACGAGTTCTACTATGATTCACATATACCATTTTCCTCTAACGAAACTGAAAAAAGTAAGTTTAAATTATTTTAATTTTTTTAATTAAAATAAGTAATTCATTTAGAGGTATACTTGATCTTTCTCACACATTTTTATTTTATTTTTTTAGTTCAATGGCTAATTTAAATTTATTATTTTGATGGTTAGATTTATTTTATTAACTTATTTTCTTGTACAATGTATCATAGACTCAACATTTTTTAAAACAAATATAAAAACTAAATTATAATATAACCGCAAAAAAAATATTTTAATTTTTTCTTTGTTTTTTTTCTCTTTTTCGATTGACATTTTGTTCTATTTATCTCTCTTATTATAGTACTATTACATTAAAAATGAAAGAAAAATGAATTGAGAATAAAAAACATAAATAATAATAATAATCAAAGAAGTTAAAAATTAATAATGTGTGAAAAAGATCAAATACTTAATTTTTAAAAAATATAATTAAAAAAATAAAAGTTATTCAAAATTAATTTTATCACTTTATAACGATTAGAGCATATGTGAGTCAATTTTGTAATGATAGGGAATATATAAGTCATTTATGGAACGATATGCATATACACAAGCTATTTCATAATTGAGAATATATCATCTCTAAATGACAAAATGAAAATATCAAATACTTAATTTATTTATTTTTGCGTTCGTTTTCATTTTCATTTATTTTCCTAATATTTTTGGTTGCTTCTTTTATGGAAATATCTGTTACTCTGTTAGTGAAGTGATAATTTTTGAAGTGGGCCATACGTTGGGTTAAAGAGCTTAAATAGGCTGGGCTGGTAAAGAGAGAAGAAGTGGGAAAGCCCAAGTTACTAAATGGGCTCAATTAACAAGGCCGCTCTACAGACTTCCTATTTTTCAACATATGATATTCTTCAATTGGACAATTACGCGGTTAAGCAAATTTATACTATTTAATTATTTATCATAGCTATATCTTGCTAGAACTATCAGCCGGACTAACATTATACATTAATTATATTGGCTGACTTAGAATTTTGTATAATTAGCCACATATTATATGTATAATTCGCCAGAATGTACAAATAAATATGTATAAATATACAATTATCTAACATATATACATAAACAATTCACCTCTCTTCCATTCTTTTTCCTCTCTCGCTTGCCTATCTCCTTTCTCTCCTAATCTCGCTTGCCAAATGTACAAGAGCATATGTATAATATACAATTATCTAACCTATATACATATACAATTCACCTCTCTCCCACTCTCTGCCCTCTCTCGCTCGCCTCTCTCAATTTCTCTTGCCATATATATAAATACATATGTATAATATACGATTATCTAACCAATATACATATACAATTCACATCTCTCCCACTCGTTGCCCTCTCTCCTCTCTATAACATGTAGTTACGAATTGTAATTATCAAACTATAGTTATGAAGAGTAATTAGATTATTTTTGAGTGACTTTATGTGAAAGTTTTCCATATTCATTATTTTATTTTATGTAGTAAGCAAAATATATTAGGTTAAAAATATTTATATACAATCTAAACAAACATTATATATTATAAAAAGGGATTATAGATGTAGATCGTATTGTAGGGTGAAGTGTGGGTAGGGAGACTTGAATGTTAGACATGGAGAGGTTCAAAGATATAATCAGTGTGGAACATCACTTATAAAACTTGTTTTATCCAATTTTATTTGAGAGATTATTTACTTACTTTTCAATAAACTTGTTTTTCTAAAACAAAAATTATACATATTTTTAATCGATAATACTTTTCCAAACACCTCGTCTATTTCATTGAAATAGCAATTCTATATGTATGCCGACAATAATACCTAAGCTATCTATCAAGAAGTTTTTTTATTTATTATTTTTTTTTAAAAAAAAATGCAATTACTCTTTTTGTACATAATCTTTCCCAAAAAGTTTTTTTTGCTAATATAAAATTAGTAGGAATTTGTAGAACGTGTAGACCTTCCCTCCATCACTCTACGTCTCAACACACTTGCAAGTTGCAATATATGTACATTTTAGTTTATTAAAAATACAGATAGGCAAGAACGTCATCATCTTAACATCAGCCACACCTTAATTATTACAAAATAAATCCATAAATTTATCTTTTTTTAAAAAAAAAACTAATCCTACGTAACAATAAATACTCCTCGTAAATGTCTCAAAAACCTAAAGCGATATTATACTGAATCCAAACGACAGTCAAGTAATGCAGATAAAAAATTTAATATTTTTTATCATTGTATATATTTATTACTTCTAAAAATTATTTCCGTTATAATATCAGCTTTCATAATTGATATCAACATATATTATTATTCCTTAATTGGAGGTGCAAAGCACTTCTTTGATCTGATATCATGATGGAGCAAAAAGAATTTCGTGTATCAATTTACAAAATCAAATAAATTAGTATGAATTAGTAGTTCTTGTCTCCCACTTCCTAACTAGTCATGTAAAATATTAATTATTTTGATCCATCTTATCCAGCTACATATATAGGAAAATATAAAAAAAATAATTATATAACTCTAATTTAATTTAAAAGAGAATCTAGAAAACCCAGTTATGATTTGTCACCAATATAATGTTGGTATTATTCCAACAGTAGGTAGTATACTAACCTCTGGAATTTCAATTAAATTGAATAATTGCACAAGGAGATTTTTTTTTAAAAGGTAAAAAAAAAAATATAATCTGTAATTAAGTTCCACCAATTATGTAATTTTGGTGGCAAAAAGGAATAATATATAGTAACTAGGTTAAAAATTGGGGAAATATACAAGTGTTTCAATCATATTCCAATCTTTTTTCCATGAAATAATTAGATATATAATATTATAGATTGATTTTATTTATCGTTTTCTATTTGTAAGACTTTAGGGGATGTAAGGGTTCCACAACAGCATAATGTGGACAATAATGTGTTAACAAGTAATTATTGGATTAAATTTTTGACACTAGGAGACATTTTAGAGATTATTATAGCATAAAGTCAATAGTTTTGTTTTTCCAAATATAGAAATAATTAAAAAGTCAATTAGTAAAATATATAGCAATTTGCAACCAATTAAAAGTGCTAAACCCTAATACTTTCCTGGCAGCTATAGTACAACAGTACAACTTGTGAAAATGAAATGAATTCATTATAAATCAATTTGTCAAATAAATGAATTTACTTACTGCCTACAAGTGGGGCAAAAAAAAAATTCAGATATTTTCATCTAATTATTATTGTCAAGAGTAGACCTAGGAGCTGGCAAAGTCGTCGCACTTGATGTTGTTAAAAATGGTTCTCGTCCTTCTTTACTATTTATCGTTAATTCGATACACTAAATTTTTATTATACGCAAATATTGAGAAAGGGTCGGATCATAACATAGTCTATTTTACTTAGCCTTGTTTTATATTTTTAAAAGAAACTTTCACATTTTAAACTCGTAATCTTCTAATCACATAACAATAACTTCATCCTTTATTCATAACCTCGTACAAGCTAATTAGAAAATTATTACAATTCTTACTGAGTTATATAATGTATTATATTATATCTTAATATAAGAAATTGATTCCTTTTTCCTTTACCATAAACGATAATAAACGTCAAAGTCATCGACATGTCAGCCGAAAGAGGATAAAAAACAGCATTGTCCAGTTGAGTAACGGAATCAAAATTTTAATTAAAAAATTTCACATATAAAGAGGTAAAATTATATAGACATAAAATTATAGATTATATTATATTGTTATCTAGTGACAGTGTAATTTATGACGAAAGAGTATAACTGGCTCCGTCGCTGATTGTTGCACTATTTTTATTATTACTTCCTTCCTTTCAACTTGTGACATAATTCAATTCTACATGGAGTTTATTAAGAGAGAACGAAAACAATTTTGAAATTTATAAACTTAAACATGCTTATATTATTTGTCTGAATATAAAAATTTATAATTAAAAATAAAATTAAAAATTGAGAATCATATTTATTATTTCATCACGAACTCTTCAATATCATTTCAAAAGCTCAATAACGTGGCAAAACAATACACAAACTCTAACATATTATATTGCTCGAGGAAAAGGAGATAAAGAAATACTATATACTAGTTGGTAAATTAAAAAAAGGAATTAATTAAGAGAATCCCAATAAAATATGGATTATCATATTACACTACTATTTTAATATACTTTGGTGTAATATTAAATCCTCTCCAATAAGAAAATGCCGTCCAATTCTTAGTTCCAAAAGGCAAAACAATAGATCTTTTTCTTCCAAACTAACTTTAACCCTCAAGTAGAGACTCTTTTCCTATTTAAATACCTTCCCATCATTTCTCCAACATTAATACCAACAATATCTTTTAAATTTCTCTCTAAACAATCTCAAAATTTTTAGAATCGATGGATCGAAAGATGAAGCAAATAACCACAGGTGCGACCACTAGTCCAAGTTGTTGTAAGAACAATTATAAGATGAATAGAGATTCACATTCAATATCCAAATTGAAGCCAAAAATACGAATAATTCATATAATAGCACCAGAGATTATCAAAACAGACGTAGAGAATTTTCGTGATCTTGTACAAAGGCTAACGGGGAAGAATGCTACACGTGAAGTCAAAGGGAAAAAGGCAAAAAAAGAGAGGAAGAAGATAGAATCACAACAAAAACAACAACAACGACAACGAGAAGAAGATCAACAACAACATATGATGATGATGAACATGTTGCATCAAAGTAATAATTATAGGATGAAAGAGGAAGAAAGTAGTAGTCATGAAGAAGGTATATATGGAAGTACTATTGAAAATTCATCAAATGGATTTTTAAGTGGTTTTGGATCAATGGAAGGATTTATTCAAGACTTAGGTCATGATCAATATCCTCTATTTCCTAATTTCAAGCCTACTCAAATTAATATGTTTGGTGAGATGCCCCTTTGCTAAATATTTTCTTGACAAAAAAAAAGATACTATAATTTTAACGGATCAATATATAGTGTGAGGGGGATTGTGTGACCTTGATTAATGACTTCTTGATTATACTTTTTTTTTCTTCTAATTTTTTTTTTTGGGTTGGATTTGGAGTGGTGAGAAAAAGGGGTTTGGGGAAAGGGAAAATGATGATTGACTTTTTCTTTTTTCATTTGTAGAGAGAGGATTCATACATGTGAATATAATGTTTTCTTCCTTTTCTTGTAATTATAATGGTCAATATTTTGCGATTATTCTTTGATATATTTTTTCGTTATTTATCTTTTCTTAGATCTTATTTATTTGAAAACTCTTGTTATAAATATATATACATTCAAAAAGAAAACTTTTATATACCCAAATATTAGAAACTATTTCCTCAGCAAGAATTCCTAGCTAGATTACTATGATTTTTAGTAGTATTTATTCTTAGACGGACAAAGGGTTTCAATTACTTATTGTCTATTTCAAAGAACCAGAAAGTGAAAAAAAATAAAAATTGATAATGTAGTTTAGAACTATTGAGGACAACATTTTACTCAATACATTTAAGTTGGTGAAAATATATTAATGCCGATCGAATGTTTTTTAGGATTTATAGTTGTTCATCATCTAGAAATCCTCCACATTTCCATCGTGTTGGCAATGTACATTGAAATATGCTCTCAATTTACTACTATCTATCACGGTTTAAATATTAAATTCATTCGTATTTTAATCTTCGATGATCAAGTTACATGAGATTTTACATCTACATATAGTGAGATAAATATAACTTCTGCACACTTCTCATTTAATTCATGAACATGATATATATAGTGAATTTAATTTTTTTACCGCTTACTAGCTAAAATTTTAAAGATTCTTACTACTTTGGAGTTTGGAATGTTCTCATTCATAAAATACTTATAGAGTACGAAAATAATTAGTCATATAAATGATGCAAATATGGTTTAAAAAGTATATATAACTCCATAATCTACTGTTTGTTCATATTACTACATAAAATGTTAGGGGAAGAACTAAATATCAGATGGAGTTAGTACACAGGCCTAAATGTAATGGCATTGGTTGCTATAATATGTAATTTTGATCGAATCAACAATAACAATAACAAATCTAGTATAGTCATAGAAGAGGAGGTCTGAAAAGAGTGAGATACATGCCGATCTTATTTCTATCTTTACGTGGTAAGGAGAATATTTTCAATAGAAATCTTCTACCAAGAAAAAAATATTTATCAAGACAATTTTTAAAAAAAATCAAAGTCTTTGAATTTGAAGGGAAAAGGGAATAATAGGTAGATATATTAATAGGCAAAAGAGTGTTTCATGCGTCCATTTTTTTCTTCTAAAAGAACTTTAACAGATTGATGTTAAAAGAATATGTGTATTTCTTAGTTGTGTGAGTGTTTGTTAAGACTTTAAATTAATGGAGATCGAGGGGTTCCACAACATAATAATGTGTAAACAGCGACTTTTGGATTTAATTGTTAAAACTACAACTTTGATTTTAGAGCATTTTATTTTTTTTTAACATAAAGTCAAGTGTTCCCTAACCAGACACCTTGCTTAAACCTAAAAAAGTCAATTAGTTAAGTACGATCAATTTGCAACTAAGAACTTAAAGTATAAAACCTAATTAATTCCAGCTTATAGCTCTACTACAATTTGTTTTATTCTAATATAAATTTTTTTGAATATATAAGAGTTGATTTTATTTTCTTTTTGTTATATTATAAGGGTTGATTCCTGTTTTTCTTATCCTATTGTACAAGCTATAACCTCTAGAGGTTCAGATGGTAAATACATCATTAATTTAAGCATTTAAGATTAATCAATACTAATCCTACTCAAGTTGCTTTTAATTTTACATAATCCAAGTTGTCTAGTAAGTGCAATTTGCCTCAATAATCGATTATGACAATTTGAGTTAAAATATATTAATCCTTTTGAATTAGGAAACACTAATCCTACTCTTCCATATTAGCCAAGAGATAATTGACATTAAATAGTTTTTAAAAAATTTAAAAATATTCCAATAAGTTGAGAAGATGGTAAAAATCTTACCTCGTGCCATCTTAAAGTTGACTCTTGAGGAGGGAAAATCCATCAATTTCTTGGCGGTGAAGCTTTAAATTATTCCTTAAAATATTATATAAATTTGTGTTACATGATATATTAAAGAATACAAAAAGGATAAAGATGAAAATTTAGTTGATATAATATAAGTTGACTAGAGATTAACTAATTAATTAAGTGAACATCACAGTTAATTACTAAGTCGGTTGCCATCAAGTCAATATACTATATTTTTTTGGCCGAAAAGAAAAAGAAAAAAAGGTTGGTAAAGTAAAATATACGTACTTCAAGATAAATCCCAAGTACTAAACACAAGAACTTGGATTAATTAATATTATATCATCTATAATTTATAGAGTAAAGAAGTGGGTGGTGATTGACTTTGTTTTCTCCATTTTGTACAAATTCATACTTCTTGATGTAAAAAATTGTTAATTCCTACGTAGTTGTTTGTTGTCAATATTACGTACTAATTCCTTTCTAAGCCAATAAATATTGGTCGCGTCTTTAGCTTGGTGACACGTCGATTGTAATTTTTAAACCTAGTGATCATGTTATATGTGGACAGTTAAAATATACTCAGGTTTACATTTGCATTCTGACTTCCAAGTGTGAAAGGGAATTTTGTAATCACTAGTTGAAAATATACAAACATGTTGGTCGCTTTGATATCATTTTCCGATCTTCATATTTTATCTTTTTGTTGTGCGGACATGATATTTACGTCAAATCAATGAATGTGTCTTAATATCGCCATTTACATCAAAAACAGTAAGTGCATGACGCATGAATCCTTACTAGAGACCTAAAAGATCATTGCAAAATGTATATGAGAAGTCAAGGCTATAGAGCTTTTCCTTTCCTAGAGAACAAACGATATTTCAAACAAACATGACCAGTACACACATCAATGAGAACATTTATAGGAGGATAAAACTGTTTACAGTATAAACGTCTAATATTTTCGTTATTGACAAGAACTGCAACAGAATACCAGGTGTCACGTTTTCGTTTTTCTCTAGTAATAGCACAAAATAGCAAAGGAAACAGCAACGGAGACACGATAAAGGTGTATTTCACAAGGATTACATCACAACAGCCTGTGCGGAAATGATACATGTAATGGAACAGGTATATATTCTTATTTCAACATGACATACAAGAGAAACACTACAATTTACGGAGACACGCGAGTTATTTCTGCATAGGCCTTACTATTTTCTGGTGGTGGTCAAAACATGCTTATACACAGTGTCGAAAATCCAAATTGAAGTTTACTAACTTGGTCCAGCATTTTGACATGTCTGGTCACCTTCCTCTTTTCTTTTTTTCCTTGTACTTTCTCTCTCTTTCTTTTCCTGGTGCATATGATGCGGCGCACCTAGAAACAGAGTATCATATTAAGCAAAAGAAAGAGGATAAAAGAATAAATGCAAGATGAAATCATTCTCACAAAAACTTCATATATAGAATAAGGACTTCCAATTGTGAAAATCAACTTTTAACCAAAGACACTTCAAACAGGTGTGCGAAAAAACAATGCTCTTACCATAAGGTGAACACCAAAAATAGATTTCTAAAAGGCACTCATTAAGTTCCTTGCACTGCAGCCAATAAAAAGCAGAAAACCAGGTTTGTCCCCCAAAACTATATATAATACAGATATAAAACATAGTACACTTCAACTCAAAACAAAATTACAACTGAAAATCCCCAAGGGCCAGTAGTGCATGGTTTAAAACTCGGTGGATGATGGGTTGACCCCTCTACCTTTCTCCACTTACAGCTTTTGTCTGTGGCAAGGTTCAAACCCGTCTTCTTTAATAAGGTAAGGTAACTCCACTAATGAAAAAGTACCAAAAAGGTATCATCTTACAAGAAAACCAAACAAAAGCTACATTCTCAAAACGCCTCTATATACTGGGACATGCTATCAATCAAACTACTCCTACACCAAAAGTACAAGCTTTCAAAATATCTATTCGTAACCAAAAAAAAATGTGAAGTTTCTTATCATCAAATGTCTCCTACTTTTTTCTAGCCATATGTTGGATCCATGCCAAATAATCTTAAATCTCTTGTTCACAATCTAGTTCTGCCAACATTCGCGTAATTGTTCGACTGTTTCAGGCATTACCCACTGTACTCCACAAATGTTGAAACAAAGATACCAGATTTGTGGACTCAAAATCTTCTTCTGCAACTATTCTGAGTTAGGCATGCATCCATGGCTGCAGTCCAGCTATAACAAGTTACTTCCCTTGGTGCTTTAGTTTTCTATAACATTTTTTATGGCCAAGTAAAGTCCCAATGTCCAAGTTGTTTCTGTAGAAGAGTATAGCTACTTTTAACAGAGAAGCTCGTGTCTTCAATTGTTGTCCAGATTAGAGAGTCTAATTTATTATCTTCAAGAGTAAAAGGACACAGTAAATATGATAAATGACTAACATCCATCTCCCAGTCGTTAAGTTTCTCCTGAAATTCAGCTGCCACCCAGAATTTATATAGCACTCTGCCACTGTACACTGCTTATTCAAGGAAATACTACACAAAATGGGTAACTTTTTCATTAAACTTTGATCTCCTAACCAAAAATCCGACCAATACATAGTTTTACACCCATTCCCCACCCTTCACTTTAGTAAGAATTTGAAACTCAGGCCAAAATTTAGCAATTTGTTTTAAACACCACTACTATGGCCTAATAATCGTCCCATGTATCCAAAAATCTTCTTTACCATATTCTGAGATAATGATCTCTTTCCAAAATTCATCTCCATTTTCTTGAATCTCCATAACTATTTAAACAAGAAGCTCTTGTTATAAAACTTCAAATTCCTTATCCCCAAGGCCACCACTTTTTTCATTCCTCATAACAAACAGACATTTTACAAATGCATCTCGAACCCATGACGTGCGCCTGACTTACACATCATGTGTTGAGCGAGACCAATCAGCTCATAAACGGAGAGCGCTCCTCAAATTTTACAAGCAAATATTTAACGACATCATAGGAAGAACAAAATCTTAAAGAGAAATTACTGATCTAACTCAGGATCAAATAACTAGAGAACCCCTAAGATTCAGAAGACTTTATGCAGGCAAACTTCACTATTGAATTACTATGTCTGTAGTCAGAAAACTGTGTTTCCTAACACGCAATGGAAACCTAAGAATGAATAGACATTAATGACACCAAAACTTCAAAATAACATATTGAACTGAAATTAAGGGAAGATGCTTAAATTGACGAAAGAAAAGCATACATACGTCATTGTACAATTCAACTTTGACCATCAAAATCCAATATACTTCATCAATTATCCACCGATATGTATCATCGGTCTATTTGGAGTTTTGGCGAGATCAAACATCCCGGCATGAGAAGCTTTCTTCCTTTTGACCTGGAAATGACAAATGAATCAAAAGAAATGTAGATAATAGCATAAAAGTAGCATGAATCTTAAATGCCAAACGAGATGGAAAGAAGTTTGTCTTTTCCCTGATGAAGGCATGACACTACAAAATAAGAGGAACAAAGGAAAATGATACAAATGGCAAATATGTAAGCAACAGACTGTGTTGGAACGGATTAGTTGCTACATACCGCAGCCCCAATGATCTCCCTGAGTTTATCATCACCCTCGCCCAGACGAATAGGATCCCTCAAGCTCACCTGGAGAAAGCAAAAAAAAAATAGTTGTAACACAGGGAAGCACATCCAATTCATGATATCTACTACATAGTTATATTGAAGCAATAGTAATAATATCAAACAACAGAAGGAGGTTGATGCCATGAAATCAGTAGTTAATGAAGCTACAGTCTAATCTCTATGAAATTGAATCCCTTAAATTACTCTGAACGGAGAAAATAGAAGGCCTAAAACAAAAGAATCTAAGGAGCACTAATGGGACTGAGTTTATAGAGGAACTACTTCATTTATACATCATATGAATGTCATGGTTCACCTAACCAAATAATTCCTACTTGTAAACTCTTCAACCGATCAGGAGATAGAACAGGAATGAGGAAGAGGCATTGCATACATGATAAATTATATATATAAAAAAATTACTATACTAACTTATAATCAAGGTAGTAAGTCGTGTGTAAGTATGGAGCTGGAGGAAAACAATACAAAGTGTGATGTGCTCTAATTGAGAAAAAAAGAAGATATGTGCAACATGGCTCAACAGCCTATGCATCTTAGGCATGAAGATAATTACCTCTGAGGGACCAAAAAGGCAAACTTTAAAGTTTCCATCAGCTAAAAGTCGCAGTCTGTTACAACCAGCACAGAAATGCTCAGTCATTGATGTAATAAATGAAACAGAGCCTTGATGCCCATCTATCCTGAAATTCTTAGCTGTCTCTGTGCGATGATCTTGAATTCTCTGAAGCCCTGTAAATTTTTCAACCTGTTCAGTAACATTGAGTGACTTAGGTAATGTACACAACTGACATTAAAGAGAAATATCTGACGAAGTCTACCATACCACTTTGTCCAACATTTCAGCATAAGGTACTAGCTTCTTGACATTCCAAACATTCCCATCAAACGGCATAAACTCAATAAACCGGACATTGATTGGCCTTTCGCGTGTCAAGTCAACGAAATCACAAATTTCATCATCATTGAATCCACGCATTACAACACAATTTACCTGTTTTGCAGCACACACCAAAATAAAACATAAATAATGTAACATGGAGCAGACTATCAGGCAGTGTTGAAGAACTGCTTTCGACAGAAGCTTGTTTTTCAAATCATGTCCTCAAAAAGATGTTCCATAGGTACAATCTGAAGAATCTCAAGCAAACGCTGCACAATTTTCATAAATAAACTAGCCCTAAGAGCATCATCAGGAAGCAAAACAGGAGAGTGCAGCCTTAGTCCACTTTTTCAACTTTTCCTATTTAGAAAGTCAAACAAATCCTACTTTAACCATGATTTCTTAATTTCTTTTGAACTGGTTCTTTATTCTAAATTGGTAGTTTTAGTTTTTCCAGACAGAGTCTTTAAAACTCAACATTAGATGCAACAAATAAACAACAAATTCTGGTTCTAAACCAAAACTTGAACAAGCAAATCCTCAAGATTCAATTTTTAGCTAATACGGGAGGGAGTATCATTCTGGGGGGGATAACATTATATAATCATGCTAGAGATAACTTACTTTGACAGGATTATAACCAAGCTTTACTGCAGCATCAATTGACTCCATTACTCTTCCATGCCCTTTGCGCCTAGTCATAAACTCAAATTTTGCTGGAACCAATGTGTCTAAGCTTATGTTCACCAGATTAAGTCCAGAGTCTTTCAGCTTTGGAAGTTTTTTTCCCAGAGTAATCCCATTTGTTGTCATCGCCAGGGTTTTGAGCCCCTTCAAGCTTGACAGTTCTAAGCAAAGTTCTTCAATATCCTTCCTAATAGTTGGTTCCCCACCAGTCAAACGAATTTTATCCACTCCAGAGCTAACAAACAAACTTGCTAAGCGAACAATCTCCTCCCGAGATAGAAGTTGAGGGCTAGGGGTGAGTTCTACACCCTCAGCTGGCATACAGTAGTGGCACCGTAGATTACACCGTTCAGTCAATGATATTCTCAAATATGTGTGCATCCTTCCAAATGAATCGATCAACATGTCAGAAATAGCTCTATCTTTGGATGGATCTTCTGATAGTGTCTCGCATGAAGTTGAATACATCTTTGACAAGGACCCATTGTGATGACTAGCAGTTATATTTTGACCACTGATGCTTGCAGATAGTAATGATGCTCTAGATGAAAAGCTAGCCTGTAGATTAACTATCAGTTAGATGCAAGTAAACAATTGAGGAATAGTTATATCTACATAAACAAATGGAGAAGAAAAGCAAAGGACCAAGAAAGAGGGCCTGGATGCTGCCAGCTGGAAATAAAATACATGTAGCTGTCCTTCCGTTTTCCTAAATGCCAAAAAAACAGGAGACACGTGAAACACCTCTGTTGGCTGCCTGAGCAGCTCAACTTGTCCATTATTTAACATCTCAACCATTGTTTTCCATATTGGCACAATTACTATTAATACGATGGTTGCAGCTTTCAGGAAGTCATCTGCTTCCAAGGAACAAAGAAGATATGTCTAGTTCACCCCTTTTTATTTTTATTGCTTCACATTCATGATTGAATTAAATTTATCAAAATCTTATCTATAAACAAAAATATAAATCCTTGAAATTTTCTGTGAAACAATCATTATTATTCTTTATATACATTTAAATGATGACTAATTCAAACTCCATTTGTTTCTTCAAGACCTGTTGGTATGATCCCAGGAAGCTCCGCAAAGCTCAAAGTTTTGGACCCCATCCATGTATGTTGTAGAGCGTAGAAGTGGTCTCAGAGGCCAGACCATCAACCTAGACTCACTGAGACATTTTTATCTTGGGTTATTTTTGTCTTTATCCAAATCAATTATAAGAAGTGTTTTGGGTATCTTGAGATTAGAGAACTATTTTGACAGACAATCGAGTCTGTTGGTTCATGTTCAACTTCAGATTACACGTTTCAAAGGAATGAGATTTCCTGACGGTAATCTCCTTTATTATATCTACTATCTTGGGTTCTACTTTGTCATTCTTCAGAAGAGATTGAGTTTGTACGTTGATTGCTTCCTCAGACGCACATCCAAGTTCTAGATTCTTCTAGTTAAACTCTTTCAAACTATATATCGGTTACTCCCAATAGAAATTCATCTTAGTTTTTGCTTTCAATTGTTATTACTGTACATTCCATTGTCATGTATATCTCGAATTATATCACTGTGCTCTTAGATTTTGTGCTCATAAAGCTGACCTGCACCGGTGTCAGATCCTTCAAAAATACACTATTTTTGGAGGATCCGGCACGCGTCCATACATTTTTGAAGAGTCCCAGCAAACTAGAAGCTGCCCAGACTAGGTAGGTTGAGATTTAGCTTGTAAGTAGCCTTAGCAGAAGACTTTCTTAGCATGCAATGAGTCAACTGTGAAACGTGGGCTTCTACAACTTCCAGAGGATGCCACATCCATGTCAATAAGACAAATCATTGAGGAAATCATGGACATGACAATAACCAAAGTGCTGCACATGTTTTATTACAGTATTCTTCTTGTTTTCATCAACTAAGATATGCAAAGGTCTAATCCTGAATTTGAAAAACCTAAATAATTACTGCATACATGTCAATATGGTGAATCATTGAAGAAATCACAGCCATGAAATATCTGTAATCTCACTTTTTGGTGTGTCTGAAAGAGTTGTACATGCTTTATTACAGAAAATGGAAAGGAAAATGAGGAACAAAATCAATTGCCTAACTAGAGAAACAATCCACAACCGATAAAGTGAATGCATCAAATATTTGTAAATCCTTTAATCAAAAGAGTAAATTAGTGCACACAATCTAAAAAAAAAAGGTAGTAAAACATTCACCATGCTTTCGGCTTTCTGAGAAACATCATACCTGAACATGATCCATGTGTCACATTTAATGTGTGAGTAAGCATATCAACCAACAGAAAGAAAACAATAATGGTTATATTTCCAAATGCATATAAAAATAGCAGGTAGAAACTAAAGGTCTGTTAAACAAGGCAAATAATTTTCTCTCTCAAGAAGGACCTCATATGAAATCTACTCATAAGTAGCACAGAATTAGTTCATATAATTCGAGTCCCGAAACTCCAAATTTTATTACATCAAACTCACATGACCTCACTAAGTAGAAATAGACCATGAAACAGTAATCAAACGGCGGATTTAAGCTAAATCAGATAATTTAAATCAACAGCACGATACATACACGGGATACGCGAACAATTAACAGTTGATTACTACAAAAAAAATACAGATGCTGAGAAAGTCTCTGTATATTTTTTCTTCTGAAACCCTGTTCAAACGAAAATTGAACGAAGCAAAAGAGGATAAAGGTAAAAATAGAAGAACATACCGAGGTCAAGGAGTTGTGACGGAGATGCCAGTGGAAGAATCTGAAGATAGAAGGCCGCATTTGCAAAGAGCAGAGAAACCTGATCTTCGATTGAATTTTGGATTAAAAAGGCAGTAAGAGAGACGCCTCTATGTTTCTCTATATTTGTAAATTTTGCGTCACCGCCAAGAGGATCTGTCTCTTGAGATACGCTCAAGGTCAACATTCATCAGTTTCACTTTTCCAATCTTTTTTTCTCAACGAATTACACGACCTACGCACTTCGCACCACATTTTAAATGAGTTATATCGGCTTAAAATATTTAATTTGAACTCTAAAATAAATAAATATATATTCTATAATTAGTTTAATCAATCAACAATTTTGTCTTATTCCGCAAATTAGATTTTAATATTGTGAATAAACTTTATTCTTTAATAGTTCAAATCATAAATGCTATAAAAGAAAAAGAGATCTCAAATATTAAAGTGCAATAAAAAACACAAATTATATTAAGTTGAGAAATCTGTGTTGGTCATTATTTGCATAGTCACTTGTCAAGATATTTCAAATCGTTACTTAATTAATGATAGTTTTTTTAGAAAATCATTTAGTTCTCTTATATAAAGTTAATTCGTTTATTTTATGATCCAAAAATTATGCTATTATTGTTTTATATAAAAAGTCACTCAATCAATTAAAATATTTTCTTTAATTAAATTTTTCTTAAGTAGAATATTTATTTTAAAATGAGCTATCTATGCTAAACTTTTAAATTACATGTTCAAAATTAATCTTCATCTCTTAAAATAGTATTCTATGTGTACAAACACATTAAAAAAAAGATTCTCTAGTTTTGATAGCACAACCCACCAGACCCTTCATCTTCCTTAAACCCCGCCATCCCTTCCTGCCCTTAACCATCACTTGCACCGCTTCTTTCTTCTTCTCGACCCCCCTACCCCCACCCACACAACCTCTTTCACCTTTTGTCAAAAACCCATTTTGACCCTATATCTCCTCTTCGAACCCTCTTTCTTTTTTTCGGATTCGCCGCTTCAAACACCACTTGCCTTGCCCTCTTCTTTTTCTTCTTCGTTAAACTTTTCATCTTTTTTCTCTTTGAAATCAAATTTAAGGTCTAATATATGTATTATATTTTTTCACAAATTAAAAATTTTAGTTAATATTATAATAATTGTAAGTTTTATTAATTAGTATTTTATTTTAGAGAAATTGTATAGTATGATAAAATAAATATTTTTAAAAATAATTGTTTTTTTATTATTAGAAAGTTTAATATATTAGATAAGTTATAACACTTGTATAATCATATTACTAAGTTTTATTTTTTATGAGTTTCCTTAATCATGTTTATAATTATTTCAAATCATTAATATATTTTTATAATTTAATATTATTAAATTATTATATATTGTAAATTAAAAAATTTAAAGATTCGTAGAGCTTATGCTTCATGTCTCGAGGCTTATGCCTCGCCTTATACTAAGTAAAATAACTTGTCTCACGCTCATGTCTTTTAAAATACCATGCTTGCTAATGATGATGTTGTATGTTGATATAGCAGCTAATGTTTATGATGATTGATAGTAGAAGTTGATGATTGTATTTTGGATAACAATTAATGGTTGAATAAAAGTTATGTCAAGTAAGGCAACGAATGATGACATTGGTTGACGACATATATAGTGATCCTAATGTTGCTTCTTTGTTATGATTTGAGATTTTTATGGTTATTGGTGATAATTGAAAATGAGTGGTGATGACAATTGATAATAGTGATTACCAACAACAATGATTGTGTCGTGGTGATTAAGAATATTATCAATCAATTTGAACCCGTTATTAATCAAAATAAACAACACTATAATTGAATACTTTAAAATTTGTTGCGAATAAGATTCCAAATTTGAAGGACAGAGCACCAAATCACTTGCACATGGCTAATGGCTTCTCTATCTTTATAATTCATCAGCAGAATAAAGAATCTGGTGCTTCGTCGTGGAATAATCATTCATTACTTGTATTTGTCCGCTTCACCAAATTGTAAAAGCATACATTCTTAATTATTTTTTTTCATTTTTATATATCATCATCTACGTAATTTTTACAGTTTTATGTTGATTTTACTTGTGATAATAATTTGAATTTTAATATATGAATTTCACTCGTTATGAAGAATTAAATGACATAAACAACAAATAATACTTATGCATGTTTTCTGAATCACTTACTCAAAGATAAAGAAAGTACTCAAGATCTTTTCATGGTACCTTACATAACTTGGTGGTTGTTATAGGGCAAGCATAAAATTTACCGATATGCATACTTTGTTTATTTTAAATTAATTTAAATTATGAGAAATAGTACATTATATTAGTATTATAATTTTTAAATTAGACTATTAATATAATTCTCAAATGATAATTATTCACCATTATATCTCAAAGAAAATTTGATTTTTCTCTCCTCCTTTCCATGCCTGATTTACGAAAAATATATTTTTCAAATATTGAGATAAAATAGAAAAAGTTTGCGAAATAAAAAATTTCCTCTTTTAATTTCATTATTCTAACTATGAGGATTTATTTAGTAAGAAAACAAAAAATTGAAGGAATTTTTTTTTCACATAAAATTTGAACAGAATTTAGTTAAAATGATATTTTATATATGTTATGTTATTTTTTATTTTTATCCCCTTTAATTTTAATATATTTTAATTAAAAGATTAAATAAAAAATTATTTTATAATATAAAAAAATTATATTTTTAAAAAATTCTGATCAACTTTCATGGCTATTTAACATTACCCAAAAATTAAATTTGAGTTAACTCTTTACTCTGTTATATTCGAGAACTGAAATAACATATTTTATTTTATTTTGTCTGACCACTTTCAACATAAAATTAATTTTGTTGTTGTTTCCTTTTTTGTGTTTTTTTGCTAGTACATTTATAACGAAACGATTAATATTTTATTATTTTAATTAACAAATGTAGTCGCATCTAATCATTCAAAAGAAGTGTTTTTTCTTTCTTTCAACATGAGGAAGCCTAATATTATATTTTTCCATTTTTAACCTATTATATTTTTAACTAATTATTTTTAAAAAAATGTAAAACCTTCAGAAAATGTAATTTTTTTAATTTATCAGCTTCATCATAAACAGAGGTAAAATAGCACTTACTATACCAATTATTTTTTTTAATAAGTGTATCAATTAAAAAATAAACAAGTGCTTAGGATCAAAATGAAGAATAATTAAACTAAACAAAATAATCGAGTACACATATGATCATTTTAATGTGCCATAGAATGCATTAATTCGTAGAAGGTTCAAGGTTGGCGTATAAACGATATTGTAGTTAACCTCACTAACACATGGCAAAAAGAAGTGGCATTTTTTGGTATATAATATAGTGCTAGTGTGTGTGTTCAATTGCAAGATTCTATAGCTCACAAGTTTTGACGTTGCATTGTTTAAGTTAATGGATTGCTCTTTTTTTTAAAAAAAATAAAAATAAATCATTATGAGTATTTTTAATTTGTCATAAATAAATGCGAGAGAATATTTATGAAAAACTTATTGTAAGATTGAAAAACGAATATATATTTTTAAATAAATACGAAGATATCAATTGAATGACCACCTAAATAGTATCATATCCCATACGAATAGGACCAATTTGGCCCAAAAAAATCTTGAGAAGTAGTGTTTGGCAATATAACTTAGGCAAATATATTTGACAAAAATCTCAAGTTCCCGAGTATTAAAAAAAATAATTAATATTTAGAATTTAATTTTTTTTAAAAAATTATTTAAACTTTATGTTTTATAAAAAAATATCCATTATTTATAAGTTTCAACTAATATTTATCTACCCTATCTATCTATTACTCCTTTTATCTATTTCTACTATTTGAATTCTCTTACTTTGTGATAATAATAATAATAATAATAGGAGAATGTGTCTAGCATAAAAGAGAATTTCATGAAATATGAAATACCCATGATAAGTTTGGCACAACCGCACCGGTCGTGCTTTGATTAATTAAAAAGTTTCAAATGAGAGAATTGATTATTGAAAAATGAAAAGTCATAATTCTTTGTCGGATGGGGACATCCAAAAGTCACAATGTAGTGCTATTCTGGCGGCTAACCCGCCGCCTAAAAACACACATTATTTTTGCATTATTCATCATTTATTTTTTAATTTAATTTTCACAATGCAGTAGGTATGCATTGTTTTGGCTCAAAAAAAAAAAAATAATCAAGAGAAAGTTATTACTTAAAATTTACATTTAATGCAACTAATGATTTTTTAAAATTTTTTAAGCTGCTTTTGATATTTAAAGAGAACTTTTTTAGTTTGTTGGAAATCTTCTTAGCTTTATTTTGCCTTTTCGACGCCTTCAATATTTGAAGTCAAAAGAGCACTTGGATTATATAATTATATATTTTTTTCTTTTTAAGCAAAAAAACAGTTTTTTTCTTTTTCGTGTAAAAAAAGATACTCCAATCTAATAAAAACGAACCGCACAGGACTTTAGAGGAGCAAGTTCTTTTTCGTTCCATCAGCCTACTTGAGATCTATTCCCACTGCTAAAAGGTAAACATCCTTCTTTTCAATCGCCATTTCCAGAATCTGTTCATCGAGTTGATCTGCTTTTGCGATTTTATTGATAATATTAGCTGGTGATCTATTTCGACCTTTTTGAAATGCACGTTTTTATGGAATTTTATACTATTTTGTACTGGCGATTGTCTTGATGAATCATTTATAGATACTTGTGATTAATTTAACTTTGTGATGCAGTCAATTTTTTTGATTTTCGCGAGCAATGGTGTTCTACCGTAGCGTTTCGTTGCTGTCAAAGCTCCGCTCTCGAGCGGTGAGTTGCAAAGGAAAAAATTAATTGTTGTTCATGTGATGGATTAATGATGACTATTTTTTTTTAAAAAATTGGATTCCTGTTATTGAAGTATGTATATTCCTGATCTAAATTCAATTCATTATTGATATATAGGTCCAACAGTCAAATGTTAGCAATTCTGTGCGCTGGCTTCAAGTCCAAACCTCTTCTGGTCTTGTAAGTTCTAATGTCTCCCTCTGCGGAAAAATTTAATAAGCTCTTTGGTTGCTTTGTGATTACATATTATTCAAAAACCAAGCTAGTTTGCATCAGTTGATTGTTAAAATAATTAATATTTTGAATGTCCAATCATTGCTTGTTGTGGAGTGACTTGATA